GCGTCTTACAGCCCAGGAACACCGCACGGGGCAAGGGGCAGGGATCTGGACCTTCACCCGAGTCATCTGATCTCAAACATCGGGCTAGTGACCAAGATCTCAGGGCCAAAAAGATCCTCTCTGACGTCTCTCAGAAGGGGACAGGAGAGGTCCACGCACTCACCTGGGTTCGGCTGGAGGTACTCTATTGTTCTGGTCAATACTTCTGTCACTGCCTTGCTGGTCAGGTCCACTTTCTGTAGGAAAGACAAGATGACCCAGCAGCAGGGAAGATCAGCTCAGGCCTCCAGCAAGGTCACAGAGGAATTATACGGGCGATGTTAGAGATTTCTCTCGTTCCCTACTCACCTTTTCCATCTCCTTGAAGTCATCGTCTAGCTTGGTCCCTTCGGCCCCTCCGACCTTCTCGCTGACCAGCTGCAGAAAAAGAACGAGGGAGGAGGAGTCAGGCACGGTACCAACTGCTTAAATCTGCTTATACCTCGTGCAGTACGTCCCTGGGACAGAAAGGGAAGAGGGGTGGTCCAGACAAAAAGACGCGGTTCTTTGCTAACACTGCCCCAACTAAAAACCCAGGCGCCTCCTTCCCTCCCAAAGCACGGTTCGGTCGGGATGTTCCTCACCCAACAGAAGCTACACAGCTCCTTAAATCACACCAGCCGGCTCCAACTCCAACGCTCGCTGGAAAAAGCCAAGCAGCAGAATCGTCTCTCGACTCCATTTCCAGCCAAGGCTTCAGTTTCACACACGGCAAAATGCAAGTAAACAGGGAACGAACCCGCTCTGCTCAGAGCAACCAGCACAAGAACCGAGTCTGGAGAGATCCGAGACCTCCCAAAGCCCTAAACCATCACTCCCAGGGGAAATGCCGGAGGAGCTCAGGATCTGAGGCACGGGGGTTTGAATTCCTTGTAAGCGGAGGATAAAAAGATCTGCAGAAGCTGCGGTCAAGTTTTCAAATCCATTTATCAAAGCGTCTCTGACGCTTGTTCTAAAACTAGTGAAAGGGTGAGATGTTTGACAAGCTGCAAAGAAGCTTGCTGCTTCTGGCTATTTGTGTGAAGGGCTTATCAGCTTTCTTCTAAATATCACTTGGTCTAAGAAAAGACCCCTGTTCCCTAAACCTCACCCTCCAACTGCCCGAGCTGAAAGATAAGCGGTGCCTTATTAAATCCACCTAAAAGTGTCCTTCCCCGCAGCCCAAAGGGAGAGGAACATTTCCTTCCCAGCCCCATGCCGGCGTGGCAAGGCAAGCGGCAGCGCCCGGGGATGCAGGACATACGCATCGGCCAAAATTAGCGATTATCTTGCCCCAAACTTGTCCAAATGGACAGCAAATTACCTACACAGACATCAAAAGCCGTGTAGGAAACGGGCACTGACACCTGAGCGCTTGACGCCTGCCGCAGGACATCGCCAGGATTGTTCATGTTTGTGGTCAAAACTCCAGTTCTGGATGAACAATACAGGTTTGTTTACTTCAACATCAAATACTTGATTTTAACAACTCTTTTTTTTTCCCCCCCCGGAACCCTCCTGCTCCCACGGGGACTCAAAATGGTTCCTTATTTTGAGGAAGAGGAGGGGGGAAAAGCCTTTAGGTAATCATCCCATTTCAGAGACACCATGCCAGCCGCTCTGCCCCGCGTGCCCGCACCCGTGCCGTGCTCAGCACTCCAAAAATCAAGTTACTGAGCAGGACACGCAGAAGAAATGCTTTTTATTACAAAGAACAAGATCTTCAGCGTTTAAGCAAAATCCCATTTCTGGACCCCAAAATAAGGAGGGGGAAAAAAAAACCCCACCACCACGCATATTCAAAGACTCTCGGTACGCCAAGCACAACCACCGTTGCTCGGAGCACAGCTAAGGGCCGATAAGCTTCTTACATCTGGGTGGGGAGACCTCAGCAATTTTGGGCGCCGTCGAAGCAGCGCGGACGTTGCAGGGAAGAGGCCGGGGAGCTCTTCTAACCGACCGCTCCGCACGGAGCATCAATCACTGCACGGTCATGAGGACGGTTCGACGAGGGCGACAAATGAGGCAAAAACCTCTCGGGGCCTCGCTGCACCAAGGGACGTCTTCCCCCCCTCTCCTCTTTCGGAGGAAGCATGGTTCAAAGAGGACTTGAGCTGTCAAAGAGGAATTGCTGTAGTTCACCCCTGACATTTGGACACTGGGGGAAAAAGGAAAGGGTCGCTGCTCTCCTGGTTCACCCAGCTCTGGATTCTTAACCCTTAGGTAAGGTCTTCACAGGTCCGCAGGACCCAGCAAGAACATGCCAGGATGGCCCAGCCCCGCACGTCGCCGCACCGCGTCCGACAAGCACACGGAAGAGGCCGGAAGGGATATCATCACCCCAGAGCTGCCTGCAGATGGGCGACTGATCTCAGCTTGAGTTCTTGCTGGGGTTTTTTTTTTTGGTGTTGTTTTGGACGCCTGCTCTGCACTTGGGGTGCTAGCGCCCACCCCGGCAAGCCGGCTCTGAGCTGGGGCGAGGAGGGGGTACACGTTCCGCTCTAGACATACGGAGTGTAGGAAAAAAAAACCCCACGAAGCAGTTGCTCTGCCTGCCAGGGCCAGCTCAGCAGAGCAAAGCTCGCTCCTGCCAGCTGCCATCGCCTGTCCCCTGCCAAAAATCCCGCAGAAAGGGGCTGTCGCACGCCCCAGCACGGCACGCTTTCGCAAAGGTCGCACCTCCGGAAACCTCCTTTATTTGTTAATACACCTGGGAAGGGTACAATTATCCCAAGCAATTCCTTTCGCGCTTTTCTCCACCCACCCGCCCACGGATTCACAGCCCAGAAAGCTGCAAACAACCCCCCTGGCAGGGAGCTCTGCCCTGTCGAAGGCAGTGATCACCACAGCGATTTTGGAGGCTTAACACCCTCCCAGAGAGCAGAGAGATGTGAAGGAGGGGGAAAAAAAACCCCGAAACCTCACTCGCAGACTAATTTAATCCTCCTTTTGACGTCCAAGAAACACTACTGGTGCCCTGCTGCGAAGGAATAATAAGATTGAGGTTCTCTCCCTGCTGGCTCTAATTAAACTGGGAGGTTTCATCACAGGAGGAAAGGAGGAGGGACCGCGTACCATCCGCAGTGGCTCCATCCCTATCCCCACGCTCCCAAAAATCTGTCAGGCAGGGAGACAAACTAACGCAGATCCCCCCACGGCGCTAGCCGAGGCACGAGCCAGGAGAAGCCCTCGCCGGCTCCTTGTTTAACCTAGAGCTTCACGACGCGACTGGGAGCCAAGTTTCCGAGCGCCGCATGGCGCAATCTCATCGCGCTGCCTGCGGAGAGCCTGCGAACGCTGGCGAGGAGGCGGCTGCCTTTCCCGGGGGAGCGTTGAGTTCACCGGGAAGATTCTCGCTTGCAGGATGGGAAGGAAAGGAAGGATCCAGGCATTGCTCGTAGCATCCAGGTTGGGTTAAGCGAACTGTGAGGCGGTGGGTGAAACGCTGCTGGTGCACATCCCAGCACAGCTGCCTCCAAGGAGCACAGGGGCTTTTTTTTAAGGATGTGGCAACAATTCTTCTGTATTTTTATTTCCTGAGTGGCCAAGAGAAGACTTGGGAGACATCTGCCTTCCCCTGGTTGGGGACCTAATCTCTCACGAAGGCTGCAAGCAGACGCGTGTGGAGCTGGGGAACGGATGGTGCAAGGCAAGACATGCAAATCGTTAACCAAATTCGGTGGCCCAAATTCTCTCTTGCAGGCTGATGCTGAAGCGCATCATCTGGCTTGGTGTGAAAGATGAGAACAAGCCTGTACTCTCTGGTTTCTTTAATCTCCCAGCCCTGCCAGGATGGGACGCGTACGAAAAGGTTAAACCCGAGACAAAACGCTGCCGCAGCTCGGAGAGAGGAGCAGGGCGCAGCGACGGAGCAGAAGCCCTCAGCTGCGCTGTCGCAGCAGCCGAAGCCCAGCGCTTCCTCCAGTAAACATTAGCACAAGGTGATGTAGTTGGGCGTCACGGACCAGCGAGATAAAAACTGCTTCGATGGCTGTTTACCTGGCATCCCAACCAAACCATGCCACGGGGCGGGGGAAGAGTGCCGAAGCAGCCAGTGCGTGTGCAAGCTCCAGCAGAGAAGCCAGGAATCAATCCCTCGCTTCCCATCCGTGTTTAATTAAAAGGCTGCTGGCAGTTGAAATATGCCCTAGATAGCTCCGACCTGAGATCACGGAGTAGGGAGGTGCATTTCACTCAAGGCTGGCGTGGGGCTCCTGCACCGTGCCGGAGTGCAGCGGCTTCCACCCCAGCGAGCATCACCGGGAGCACGGCATCCAGCCCGCTTCATCTGCGGGAGAACTAATCCAGAGGGAAGAGGTACGGCCACTTCTCGCCACCGACGGGCTGCTCCCAACCATGCTCTGCAGTTTCCGCAGCTTCATTTTAAAGAGCATCAACTCACGGGGGTTTCCATCGGTTTCCTTTGCAGGGGCGTGGGAAGACGAACAATCCCGACTTCCCCTCGCCGTTCAAAACCCGCCGAAGGGCTGCGCACGGTGGAAGATCTTCGGAAATGAAAGAGCTATTGTTTAAGCGAACTACTGCGGCAGGAGGTTGGCTATGGGAGAGGCAGGAATGGTACGTGTACACAGAGGGGGAAGAAAGGCGCGATGAAGAGGGCTTCTCTTTTACAGCTGGGAGCAAGAGAGAAACGTAACTCGGGGATGAGGGAGGGGTGCACGGCCGCTCACGACTTACGACACAAAATCCGCACACCCCTCCTCAAAACCCATCATTCCTCCATCTCATCCGCTCAGCCCCAGGCCAACTTGCAGCAAATAAAGAAATCTGAGCGTCCATCCCTCGCTAGACTGCGCCGGGCATCCTTGCGCGAAGCAGATGGAGCAGACAGACAGGTATCAGTCATTTGGTGCTGCCCACGCCATCGCCGAAACCTAACCAGATCCCAAAGCCCTGGAGAAGGACCCTGGCACACCCGCTCCCACCCCAAAGCCGCATTTCCCTCGTTGCTAACCGCAGCATCACCCCATAAACGTTCCCGACGGGAGCACGAGGCCGTGCCAGTTCCGTCACACGGCACGTGTGTTTGGGCAGGACACCCTGGAGGTATTTAGGAGCGCAGAAGATCGGGAGAGGTTTTGCGAGCAGGAGATGGGCAGTCCCAGCACGGAGCAATGGCACGGGCCGTTCTGCACGGTGGCCTCACTGCATCGCTCCCGGGGGCTGCCGCTGGCTGAGGTGTGACAGATGGGTAGAAAATACAAAGGAAAAGGGAGATTTTTGTACAGCAGCGTCAGCAAAATTCATGGCAAACGGAGAGGGAAGACGCCATCGTCAGCCAAACTCCACCCCCACCCCCCCCCCGCACCACCCCACCGCCCCA